TCTAGTTCAATGTTACTTTGGAGAGCAGAACTGGCACCAGCAAGCACAGGGGCCAGGAAGACAGCTTCTGACTCCATGAAAAGAGCCAAATTCTTACTAGAACTGCCTCACAGTGGCCCAGATGGCCTCATAATGCAGTAATTCTGCAGCTGAAAATTTCCAAACACAGTTTGGGTCATTGTAGGTCAGGCACATTCTAGAAATGATTTCTCCATTCTCAATCTAGAAACGATTTTCCATGGACTAGATATTTCTGAAGTACTTTTCCCCTCAAAAGTCCAGTACTCCATAAACAATTTAGTCAGATATGAAAAGAAGAGGTTGGGGTCAGTGTTGTGGCATAATGGGTAAAGCCACCTAGATGCTAATTTGACACTGGCTGTTCCACTTCCAATCCAACTCCCCTGCTGACAAGCCTGGGAAAGCAGTGGAGGATGGCCCAAGTGCTTGGGCCCCTGCAGCCCACGTAAGACCCACCCAGGATAACTCCTGCTTTGGCCTGGTCCAGCCCTGGTGGTTGTGGCCATTTGGAGACTACATGCCATGAATGGAGGATCTCTCTCTCTTTCTTTCCTCTCTCTCTCTCTCTCTCTCTCTCTCTCTCTGTCTCTTCTGCTCTCTGTGAAATTCTGACTTTCAAATAAATAAATCTATCTTAAAAAAAGAAGGGGTTCTATTATAAAATAGTAATGAGTAAAATTATTAACAACTAAATCAAGGTGACTGTGTCCATAGCCTGTGAGTAATAACTGGGTTTGGTCGCGAAGTAGGAAGTGAAATAAGAGCTTGTAAGGAGTGAGCTCACAAAATGGAGGCTGCCTTCCCGAGGAGCTCCTGGAGGGAGGCTGGACCACCTCTCGCTCATCTGTGACCCCCAAGTCCCTTGCATGTTACAGAGCTCAGTGAGTGTCTGAACAGCTGACTGGGTTTGCCTGTCAGAAGAGGCAGAGTGGGAGAAGAGCCTCTCTCCTCTCCACGTAGGAGCTTCCCTGCAGGTTGCTCGCCACCATGTAGTGGCACTGAACATAATTATCTACGAGAAGAGGCCAGCGGGGAACAAGCAAGTCAGGTGCATCTGAGAATGATGTGAAAGGGAGTGGTGAAGGCGCAGGGTGGAGCCATCCGGGTGCTCCTTTTGGCTCTGCTGCATATTTGTGGTCTTGAGAAACCCTCCTCTGTTTATAGTGCATCCACTTTATTGCTGGAAATGGAGGGGGTTGGGAAAGAGATGATGACAGACATTCAGCTATTGGGAGGTGACTAGGAAATCGATGATGCATTTGTAGGTTATCTAGCGGTTCTCCCTCACCTTATTTCTTACTTTTGCCCTAATATCTTTCTTTTTTTTTTTTTTAAGAAAACATTTATTTATTTGAAAGTCAGAGTTACACAGAGAGAGGAGAAGCAGAGAGAGAGAGAGAGAGAGAGAGGTCTTCCATCTGCTGGTTCACTCCCCAATTGGCTGTAACGGATGGAGCTGTGCTGATCCGAAGCCAGGAGCCAGGAGCCCCCACCAGGTCTCCACATAGGTGCGGGGGCCCAAGGACAGGGGCCATCTTCTAATGCATTCCCAGGCCACAGCAGAGAGCTGGATCAGAAGTGGAGCAGCCAGGACTTGAACCGGTACCCATATGGGATGCTGGCACTGCAGGTGGTGGCTCTACCTGCTATGCCACAGTGCCGGCCCCCATAATGTCTTTCTCATTTCAGGGTTAACTCCTGCCTCTCACTGAAACACCCAAGGTAATAACTAGGAAAGTCACACATCTCTAAATTCAGAGCTTTCTGTCTTGCTTTAGTAAAAGTCTAGGTGATAAGACGAAGCTGTAAATTGCTGTGGCATGGGAGCTGGTTCGAGTCCAGGACACTCTTCTTCCAATCAGGCTCCCTGATAATAGACTGGGAAAGAAGTAGAAGATGGCCCAAGGGCTTGAACCCTTGCACCCACTTGGGAGGCCCCGAACAAGCTCCTGGCTCCTGGGTTGGGATAGGCCCAGCTCTGGCCATTCCAGCCATTTGGGGAGTGAGCCAGAAGATGGAAGACATTTCTCTCCCCCTCTCTCTCTAACTCTGTCATTTAAATAGATAAATAATCTTTAAAAAAAATTGCAGTGACTGTTGCTTGATGCTATGTCCCACCAATGTCAGGGATAACTGAGTGTTGGCTAGGTGTATCTCCAAATGTTAGAGTGCTTGAAATCAAGTGCTTTCTACAAAATGTAGGAGACTCTATAAGGGCTCTGCCGGGCTCCTTCAGCCCCATGCACCTGCTCCTAACACAGCCTCCTCTCACTGTGAGGTGGGCCACTGGAGAACAGCGGAATGGGGAGAGCACTGGCGTCAGCCCGATACTGCTCCAGCCCAGGCACAGCTAGTCTGTTTGACTAATAGTTTCTTCCTGAGCCTCGGCTTCCTGAATCTGGAGAATGCACAGGAAGCAGTCATTCCTACCTGAAGGCAACTGTTACCATGAAAGAAACTAAATGTGGTACCGTTTCTTTTCCTGTTTCCATTGAGTTTCCCTCTAATGGCAGCCACTGTATTAAGTGCTACCCTAGCTACCTTCCCAAGGACTCCCCAAGTGCACTGGAGAAAGGAAAGTGTTGGAGAGAAGGCATAAGAAGAAAGAGTAGAGAAAACCAGAGATTGCTCACGCGATCACAAAGGGGACTTGTGTTTTGGAAACAGGACTGAAAGGATAAGGATGGAGAGGGTGAGGCGGAGTTAGCCTTGGGAAGACTGGAAGCGCCGCGTTGCGCGTTGCGTTGCGGGGTGTGGAGCCTGGGTTCTGCCTGCTGTCCTGATCTGGGGCCTTCTCCCCTAGAGCCGGGGGTGGGGGAGCAGCTGGCTTTTGCTCATTTCCAGCCCGTTCCCTGGTTAGATTATGTCCCCACCCTAAATAGGGGAATCAGACGCTCAGACCTCCTGCCTCCCGGGAGGCACAGCAGCTCTGAAGGGACGGGAAGGTTCCTAGCTGGCAGCAGCTGGCGGGTGAACTGCAGTCACACCGAGGGCGACGCAAGGGAAGCCCATCCGTTAGATTGATTGGACCAGGAAAGCCCAGCGCACAGCTTGAATCCCCCGCAGGGGAAAACGATCGTGGCTTCTGAAGCGGCCCAGGGAGTGTGGTGAAGCTGCTGCTGGGGCCCGCGGGGCTGGGTCGGGGAGCCTTGGCTCCGCGATGACGTAATGCTTTCTCTGGTACACAAAGCGGTCTCCCCCTGGGCTGGGCCTCTCGCCCCTCCCCCTGCGGCCCTGCTCCCGCCCCCTCCAGCCCCCGCGCTCACGGGTGAGTTGCTGGTTTTGAAAAGCCGGCCCGGGAAGCAGGGAACAAAGGCCCCGGAAGGAGAACCTCGGCACTGCCAGGAGGCCCAGAAATAGACATCACGTCATCCCCAGCCCCGCCGCGCCAAGCGCCATTTGGAAGCGAGGGGCCGACCCCACCATTACGGTGCAGAATGGGGGGTGCAGAATGGGGCTCGCAGGGCTCGCGTGTCCTCCCGGCGCCAGCCTGCAGCTGCCCAGCCGAAGGAGCGGCTTCCTTGTTGCTCCCCGCCCCCGCACCCCTCTTTCCCCAGGAGCGGCCGCCTCCGCTGGCCGCGCGCCACCCAGCCACAGTCTCCAAGCTGCCATCTTGATGTCCCATCCCCCTTGCCACCTCCCTCCCCCGCAGCCCCTAGGAGTGGGAGGGGGAGCAAGGGGCACCGCCCTGCGTGCCCCGAGGGGGAGAGGGGGAGGGCTCGGCCTGCCGCACCTCTCCTCCCCCAGAAGGAGGGGGTCACGTCCTCCGCACGCTCGCTGCTTCTCACCTCCAGCGGTGCTGACAGTGCACCACCACACAGGGGTTTAGCACCCCGGATGCCTCCCCTCGGTCCCATCCCTGCATCGCGCAGCCCCCATCAGGAGCTAGCCACTGCCCGCTCCGCACCGCCGCAGGCCGGCACTGCAAGGCTCTGGTCCCGGCTCCACTCCCTGCCGGGCGGCTGGGCCCCGCTGGCTCTGCACCGGTTCCGAACACCTCCAGCCTGGTTTGCCGGCCTGTACTTACCGAAGCTAGGTCGGATATTGGTGATCTCAGCCATGTCGTAATCAGAGGCGGTTGCTGGAAATGCTTCTGCAGTGGTCCGACCACTCCGGGAGCCGTCGGTCAGCGCCGAGGCCGCCTCGGTGGCGCGCTAGGTCAGGGGAGGGGGCAGGTATGTGGCAGACGCCTCCCGCGACGGTGCAGTCCCTGGTTGCCAGCTGCGCTTGCCTCTTACGATGCTCCAGGGATGCTCTGAGGCAAGGATGCAGGTGCAGCCAGACTGGTCCTGATGCGAGGTAGGCTCCGCCTTCCTCCGAAGGGCCTCGGTAGAAGACTCCGCCCCTGGCCGAAAGGTTCCGGAAGGCAAGCCCCGCCCCCTCCGGAAGGCCTCTGGGAGGGGCTCCCTCCCGCCGCCGAGTGTTCCCGGGGGTGAGGCCCCGCCCCCTGGGGGGGGGCTGTGGGTGCCTAGGGCGGAAGTCGCGAGGGCTGGGGAAGCGGTGTAGGTAGTTTATCGCACGGGGCCGTGCAGATCTTGGGATTCGCTTCTCTGGACCTAGCAGCCGACTGTTCTGCGTTCGCGAGTTTGAAAAACCAAAATTCTACAGCGCCTGGAGTTTGGGTGGACTGTGGTCAGCACACATTTTTGAGCCCATTAAAGGTTCTTGAAGTTCAGAAGCTGGGGAAGCAACACCGAAAGTTTCGTAAAAATCCTTTGGTTGTACCCGTTAGCAGGTGGATTTTGTGCTGCGTAAATAAAACTTTTCTCAAAAAGACTAATGGAGAGTGCTAAACTTGATCATGGTTGAGAATTTTTCTCCGTGCTTAGAACTGAGGATGGGGTTGGGCGGGAGGAGTTCTGGTGGAGGGGAGGGAGAGAGGAGAGAGGAGAGAGAGGGAGAGAGAGATGAGAACCAGAGCTAAAGAGCAGGTCAACAGGAGGGCAGGAATGCAACTCGGAGCTTCTGGAGGCTTCCCTGGCATGGGGGAGTTGGTGTGTTTCAAGGCAGGGTCAGACTGTTGGCGATTGTAGCGGCGATTATGTAATCTTATCCTTGATTCTGGCTGTGGGTACTTTTAGGCTGTCGGCTTCTGTTTCCCGACAGGATCGGTTCCTATGCATACGTCCTTGGAGGTTCTCCTGTACAATGGAGTTGAATGCAATTTTCCATTTGATGTTCTGACCTATAACAGTGAGAACATGGGCTAGGAGTCATTCATTCGTTCACTCAGAACACATGTGTTGAAGTACTGGCCGTCGACGACGCCCCAGGAGCTAGACTTAGGACATCGGATACCGGAGTCCCTTGATAGGTGTTCACCTTGTGAAAGCAAGCACCCAAGTGAGCCAGAACTACGTCCTGTGCAAACCGCAGCACAGTATGGTAATTTCCACTGTCTCACCGGGTCGACTGTGGAGAGCCAGTCACCCAAGATAACGTGGGAGCATCTTGCATAACGCCGATTATTACACAGATGTGAGGTATTATTATAGCTTGAGTGCAACACTGCCTTTGTGTCCTTCAGGAAACTGCGTTATTTGTAAACACGAGATTCCTCCTTCTCTGTGTCCTTGGTTCTGTGTCGCAGGTGTCTCGCGGCGAGACTGATTCATTGTCAACCGGGCCGTTTTGTGCAGACGGGGAGCGTTCTAGAGACAAAGTCCAGGACGCCTCTACAAATATTTTGCCAGTAACTGACGTGCTACCGCCGTGGCTTCATTGTGCCCTCAAGCAGGATGGCGCCTGGAGGTTGGCGCATGCTTCTTGACGCGCAGTCGCCGCGCGCCGCGGCCCGGGGGCGCGCACGTCACCGGGCGCCGTTGGCTGACTTCCGGTGGCGCGGATGCCGGATTCCGCGGGATGAGGTGGGCTGCTGAGGGTGTCGGGGGTTGTGCTGAGGGGCGGGGAGCGGCCGGTGGGAGCGGGACCACCTGGGCGCAGGCTGTCCGGGATGGTAGGGGTTTGGTGTGAGGGTGGGCGCGGCGTGCAGGACGGAAGTTAGGGGCGCGAGGGCTTCTCCTGGGAGTCGGACTGGGGCCAGCGCTCGGCGCGGGGGCTGGAAAGCGCAGGTCGGAGGCCTTTTTGAAATGATTGTCCGGGAGGGGCCGCGGCGCGGCTGCCTTCGTTCTCGGTGCGGGGCCGACGCCGTTCTCAGTGGCTGGGGCTTTGGGCGCTGTTGCTGTGCGTTCGGTGCCCGGAGCCATTGGGTGCCCGCTGCCGACTGAGCCACAGCTGCCCTTTTCGTCCCTCAGTAGTTCACCTGTGAGAGCAGGGATTGCCTGGGCACTCGCGCTCCTCTCCTTACCAACGCTGCCCACGGCATCCTCACGTGTTTGTTGAGCTGTCATTTCAGCGAGAAGGCATGGGTCGGTTGGGGGACGGAGCAGGGGAGACCTCCCCACCCCCCATGTATTGGAGATTTGGATGAGGGAGGCTTTGTAGCGGACTCTTAGAGAAACCTTTTTCGGCTCTCAGCTCCAAGCTTTCATCTAGGTCCCTGATAGGCGGGCATTCAGTCTTGGCCGGAGCATTGGCTGTTGGAAGACTCCCTGGAACACATTGGTGGTGGTCTTGGGCCCGTAATGTAGGAGGGCACATTTTTCCTGGGTAGAAAGTTGCAGTCAGTTCCGACATGATGCTTAAGCCTTGTTCCAAAGGCTGTACAGAATTATCAAGTTATTTCAAGCCCTCTTTAATTCATTCAGTTTTTCCGGGAACATTGATTTAGTTGATACTCAGTAATCTATTGAGTTTCAGTACTCAGTGATACATTGGGCATTTGCAGTCATATGCGCACCGTTTGGAGTTTCAGCTTCTTTGCTTCGGATCCATCTCCCTGTATTGTGCCTGGAGGGAAGGGGATATGGCCCGTCCCTCCTGTGGGTGACGTGGATGAGTTCCAGGCTCCTGGCTATGAACTTGGCCTTCCCTGACTGTGGCAGCCGTTTCTGGAGTTAATCAGTGGGTGGAAGATTTCTTTGTGTCTCTCCCTTCTTCTCTCCAACTCTGCCTTCTTAAGAAATAAATCTTGAAAAATACGTGTTTATTTGAAAGGTAGAGAGGGAGAGGCAGGCAGAGAACTTTTTCGTCTTCTTGTTCACTAACCAAATGGCAGCACCAGCTCGGTCTGGACCAGTCTGAATCCAGAAACCTGGGACTCCATGTTGGTCTCCCACAGAGTCCTAGGTCCTCAAGCATTAGGGTCTTCATCTCCTGCCTTCCCAGGTATATTAATAGGTGCTGTGTATGGGATGCCTGCTTGCAAATGGTGGCTTAACCCACTGCACCAATTGCCAGCCCTGGTGCCATGGGTTTTTCTCACCATCATGTTACTCTGTCTCCCTGATGGTGGTAATAACTAATACCTGCTAACACTGCTTATTTGTTAGAACTGCTCTTGTGAAGTAAGTATTTTTACAGTTGAGGGAGGTGACACTTTCCAGCTGTTAGGTCAGTTGGTCATGGTAATCAAAAGTAGAATTGGGATTTGAACTCAGTCACTAGAAGTGCTCATTTCTCACCCAAAGGGACAGTTTGTGTTTAGTATAAAGTATTTTTTATGTTACTCTTATTTTTATTTATTTATTTATTTATTTGACATGCATAGTTAGAGGGAGAGACAGAGTGAAAGATCTTCCTCTTTCCATTGGTTCACGCCCCCAGATGGCCACCACGGCCGGCGACTGCGCCAATCTGAAGCCGGGAGCCAGGTGCTTCCTCCTGATCTCCCATGCCAGTGCAGGGCCCAAGCACTTGGGCCATCCTCCACTGCCCTCCCTGGCCACAGCAGAGAGCTGGACTGGAAGAGGAGCAGCCGGGACAGAATCTGGTGCCCCGACTGGAACTAGAACCCGGGGTGCTGAAACCGCAGGCGGAGGATTAGCCTAGTGAGCCGCGGCGCCAGCCTATGTTATTCTTTTAAAAATATATTTATTTGAAAAACAGAGTACAAAGGGGCAGAGGCAGAGAAAGCGAGGTCCTCCATCCGCTGGATCACTCCACAGGTGGCTGCAATGGCCAGAGCTGCACTGATCTGAAGCCAGGAGCCAGGTCTCCCACACGGGTGCAGGGGCCAAAGCACTTGGGCCATCTTCTACCACTTCCCAGGCCATAGCTGAGAGCTGGATTGGAAGTGGAGCAGCTGGGACTTGAACTGGCATCCATGTGGGATGCTGGCACTGCAGACAATGGCTTTACCTCCTAAGCTGCAGCACTGGCCCCGTGAAGTATTTTATTTATGAATCAGCATGGTTAAATTAAATGATAAATGAGCAGTGTTGTCACCAGCAACTAATATGAACGTGGTAAAAACTTGCTTTTATCCTTTCAGGAGGGAACAAAAGTGGAGCTTTTACAATGTTGCCCTGTAAGAAGAGAAGAAGTACGGTGCCAGAGTCCCCACAGCATAAGGGCCAGCAGGAGGAGGTCGATGTAGACTTAGAATCTGCTGTTAACCTCGACTCTGCCCAGGTGAGAGAGCTGCAGTCCGTGTCGCTGTGCTGGGGCCCGAGTCCTGACAGAAGAGCTGGCCCTGAAGTAGCGTGTGTGCAGGATGCAGGGCGGCAGGCTGCTGCCGAGGACACACCTTTGAGTGCAAGGACGCTCACCCAGGACACACATTTTCCAGTCCTAGACGGTGTTGATGTGGACATGGCTCAGGGAATCACCCTGCCTGCCTTGGAGTCCTCCCCTTCCCTTGACATGCACATGGGTAAAGGAAAATTCCAGGCCACCGGCTCAAGGAGATGGAAGAAAATGACACCCAGGCCTGCACCAGGTACCCAAGAAGACAGAGGTGACCATCTCAGCAAGAAGGAGCCTGTTTCAGGAGCTTGCAGTGAAGAAGTCAGGGAAGAAAGAGGTAAGATACAAAGAGTCTCCAGGTTAGACCACTTTGTCTTTGTATCTTCTGTAGAGCCAGGATAGAGCAGTGTTTCTGAGAAGGGGCACCAGTTTGTCATAGAATTGGACCTGTGGATCTTCTCAGATTCAGCAGTGAACTAACTTTATGTATGGGTTGAGACTTGGTTTTCCCCTTCCGTTCCCTAGATCTTTGCTATCCCTTCCTTTCTCATCCTGTGTCCTGTGTGTCAGGAGAGATGAGCTGGATATGGGCTTCTGGGATTGGTAGGTATCCCTGAAGTGGGGCTCCTGGAAGAGAGAGCTGCTTAAAGGGAGAGACTGTTGCCTGGCACATGGGGAGAGGTTCTGTAGGCGTGAATGACCCTTGGGCCTTGGAGGCTGATTTGCAGTTTGACAGGATGGTGGCGTGAGCCCCAAGGCTACGAGCAGTGTGTGCAGAGGTAAATGGGCATAAGTAGAAGGTGACACAGCTTCTTGGAAGAAGTGGGAGATGACTTCAGAGTGCTAGGTAGAGGATAGGTTGTGAAGGGCTTTGTGTTTCATGTAAGCTGTTTAGAATTTTGCTGTAGGTAGGTGTAACCATTTTAATGGCTAAGCCGAGAGTTATGCTTTGGAAAAGATGTTAGTTTCTTTTTTTCATTTTGAAGAACGTTGAAACTTTCCTTTTTTGCTGCATTTAAGCTCACATGGTCTTATTTAGTTGTTCTGGTATATTCTCGGTGGGTGGATTTTCTGCTGTTAATGTGCTGTGTTGGCCCTGACATTGTGTGTGTTTGAAGTGCAAAATTTCACATTTATGACTGTGGTGTTTGAAAACTGATAAAGTAGTACGTGAGTTGTCCGAGGTGCGTTGTTGAAGATGGAAGCTCTTTTTGGGAAAAGTGTTCGCTTATAGACTCAGCCCTTGTCACAGTGTATGGCTCTGTAGTTACAACAGCATTTGGAGTGGCTTACATTATGTTGGTTCTGGGCCAGCTGTATTTTATCTAAAGGGAGAAGAGCATCAGGTTGAGAAAACCTTGTGTGGAGGAAGAAGATAACAGAGAAGGAACAACTGGAGTAGTGATCGGCAGGGCGGAGAGTTTTAAGGGTAGTGTGCTTTCAAATTTAGTGGCAAAGGAGAGGTCAGGATGCTGATGCTGAAGAAGAGGGTCCATCAGAAGGTTGGTCTGCAGGAGTGGGTACAGGAGAGCTTTATCGGGAAAGGACATCATCATATGATGGGGTTGAAGAGGGAGGGATGAAAGCACGGGTTTTGCATTGGGCAAATAGGATTTAGCTAGAAGAGGGGGCAATATTATTGAACCTGATTCGCAGGATAACTCATATTTGTGACATGAAGACAGGAACAACTGGAGGAAAATACAAGAAAAGAATGTTAGAGAAAGAATGGATAAATAATGATAGATTCAAAATTACTCTGCTAATGAGGAGAGCCTTGTTGCTTGTTAAAATTTTTGTTTTTTTTAAATGTGTTTATCTTTATTTCCTTGAAAGGCAGCGTGATAGAGAATGAGAGAGAGACAGAGAGATCTTCCATCTGCTTGTTCACTTCCCAGATATCCACAACGACCATGGCTGGGCCAGGCGGAGGCCAAGAGCCAAGAAGCCATCCAGGTGTCGCACACATGTGGCAGGCCAAAGTCTGCTGCTTTCCAGGTACTCCCAATGTGGGATGCTTATTTTTTATTTGTGTGTAGCTAGGAATTACAAAGCTACTTTTACTGCTTTGGAGGTGTGCCCCCCACTGTGGGGAGCAACCGGACTAGACTAAGTTACTCGAATTAGGACTTATTCTATGCATCTGCTCTCCCACAATATGGCGCTGGGAGAGAAGTAAACAGCTTCCGCACAGCTGCCTCCAGTTCAACCAATTAACTGTAGGACTTGCTCCTGATTGGAGAGCAGCGTACTCAGCCGAGTTGGGATTGGCGGAGGAGGACTATAAAGGAGGAGAGAGACGGCATGCACCAGGAACATCTATGGGGAACATCTAAGGGAACCCGTGCAGCCCCCCAGAGAGCCGGCCGGCGGTGTGCCGCTCCCCTGCGGAAGTGGGGAATGCGGCCAGGGGGAACTGCCCTTCCACGGAGGTGGACGGGATAGTAGCCAACCCGGGAAGAACCAGCAGCAAACCCGGGGAGGGCCGAGCAGACAGAAGAACAGCGCAGGGTCCTGTGTTGCTCCTCCACGAAGAGGGGGAGCGACACCCCACCAATGAAAAAATGCTGGAAAGAGGTAGCCCCGCCCCAGGAGTGACCTGAGGGAGAGAGAATACCTGAGGGGAAGGGTCCCCCTGCTGACTCAGGGCAGAGGGAATGCCATTCGAGCTGGGACCTGTGAGCACCACAGGAGGAATCCTGAGCCTGGTGGGACTGGCTGCAGGCACACAGCAGAGGGCTTTTTCATATGCCTCTGGCATGTGAGTTTAGGCTGGTTACAATAGATGTTGGAGATGGCAGTGGCTCCAGCCTGCCTCTCTTGTGTCCCCCTTTGTTCTCTCTGATGTTGCAGGCTCTCTGCATATTTTTTTTTTATTATTATTTTTTGACAGGCAGAGTGGACAGTGAGAGAGAGAGACAGAGAGAAAGGTCTTTCTTTGCCGTTGGTTCACCCTCCAATGGCCGCTGCGGCTGGCGTGCTGCGGCCGGCGCACCGCGCCGATCTGATGGCAGGAGCCAGGTACTTCTCCTGGTCTCACATGGGGTGCAGGGCCCAAGCACTTGGGCCATCCTCCACTGCACTCCCTGGCCACAGCAGAGAGCTGGCCTGGAAGAGGGGAAACTGGGACAGAATCCAGTGCCCCGACTGGGACTAGAACCTGGTGTGCTGGCGCCGCAAGGTGGAGAATTAGCCTAGTGAACCGCGGCGCTGGCCAGAGAGAGAGGTCTTCTATCCACTGGTTTACTCCCCAGTTGGCCGCAACGGCTGGAGCTTCTTCTGGGTCTTCATGCGGGTGCAGGGGCCCAAAGACCTGGGACATCATTTTTTTTTTTTTTAATGTATTTATTTGAGAGGTAGAGTTAGAGACAGTGAGAGGGAGAGTCAGAGAGAAAGGTCTTCCATCCGCTGGTTCACTCTCCAAATGGCCACAATGGCTGGAGCTGCACCAATCCGAAGCCAGGAGCCAGGCACTTCTTCCAGGTCTCCCACGTGGGTGCAGGGGCCCAAGGACTTGGGCCATCTTCTACTGCTTTCCCAGGCCATAGCAGAGAGCTGGATTGAAGTGGTGTGGGGAGCAATCCGGACTAGACTAAGTTACTCGAATTAGGACTTATTCTATGCATCTGCTCTCCCACAATATGGCGCTGGGAGAGAAGTAAACAGCTTCCGCACAGCTGCCTCCAGTTCAACTAATAAACTGTAGGACTTGCTCCTGATTGGAGGAGAGCAGCGTACTCGGCGTGTGGGCAGCCGAGTTGGGATTGGCGGAGGAGGACTATAAAGGAGGAGAGAGACGGCATGCACCAGTAACATCTATGGGGAACATCTAAGGGGACCCGTGCAGCCCCCGAGAGACCCGGCCGGCGGTGTGCCGCTCCCCTGCGGAAGTGGGGAATGCGGCCAGGGGGAACTGCCCTTCCACGGAGGTGGAAGGGATAGTAGCCAACCCGGGAAGAACCAGCAGCAAACCCGGGGAGGGCCGAGCAGACGAAAGAACAGCGCAGGGTTCAGTGTTGCTCCTCCACGAAGAGGGGGAGCGACAAAGTGGAGCAGCTAGGACTTGAACCGGCACCCATATGTGATGCGAGCACTGCAGGTGGCGGCTTTACCCGCTACACCACAGCGCCAGCCCCAATTTTTTTTTTTTTTTAAAGATTTATTTATTTATTTGAAAGAGTTACACAGAGAGAGGAGAGGCAGAGAGAGAGAGAGAGAGGTCTTCTTTCCGATGGTTCACTCCCCAGTTGGCTGCAACGGCTGAAGCTGCACCAATCTGAAGCCAGGAGCTTCCTCCAGGTCTCCCACATGGATGCAGGGGCCCAAGGACTTTTGCCATCTTCTGCTGCTTTCCCAGGCCATAGCAGAGAGCTGGATTGGAAGTGGAGCAGCCGGGACTCAAACCGGTGCCCATATGGGATGCGGGCACTTCAGGCCAGGGCGTTAACCCACTGCGCCACAACGCCAGCCCCAGCCCCAAGATTCAATTTTAAAAGGAAAGGGAATTGGGGAGGGGAAAGGGGCCCCCATATTGACGACTGTCTTTACCAGGCTGGCCCTTTTGAACAGGTCTTGGTTTGAGACTAGGTCAAAATTTTCACGTGGGTCACAAATATTTTGTGAGCCTAACTTGCCTTAAGGTTCTTCTAATCAAAAGGAAGACGTTCTCTGCACTTCCCTCCATGGGTTGCCTTTTAAATGAAAAGGTGCACAGATAAGGTTGCACCCCATAAGTCTCCACCTCTGCTTGGTTTGGCGTTTTTCAGGCCGTCAGAGTGGACGTTCACTGGTTATCAGATCTTTGTCTTGGTTGCAAGTCCTTACCTTTGCCTAAAATGAGAGATACTAAGACAAAGGTGTTCCCGAGCCCAGCCTGCACAGGGAACAGAGGCAGACGTGCTTACAACATTTTTACCCAGGCTGGTCCTCAGACCTTGACCTCATGAGTTCTTGGCAAGCTGCTGTGACCTGATCGTCTGCCTGCATCTGAAGCATAGCCTCTCCAGTCAAAACTGGGTTGATAAGTACGAGATATACATCAGTATCCATGGTCAGTGGACTTTGATGCTCATGACCCTGTAGGAGAATGTGTGAGTTTACAGAGTACTCAAGGGGCTGGCGCTGTGGTGTAGTGGGTAAAGCCACCACCTGCAGTGCCAGCATCCCATATGGGCGCCGGTTCAAGTCCCAGCTGCTCCTCTTCTGATCCAGCTCTCTGCTATGGCCTGGGAAAGCAGTAGAAGATGGTCCAAATGTTTGGGCCCTTGTACCTGCTTGGGAGACCTAGAAGACACTCCTGGTTCCTGGCTTCAGTTCAGCGCAGCTTGGGCCCTTGTGGCCATCTGGGGAGTGAACCAGTGAATGGAAGACCTCTTTTTCTCTCTCTCTGCCTCTGCCTCTCTGTAACTCTGCCTTTCAAATAAATAAGTAAATACTGAAACAAAAAGGAGTACTCAAAAGGTGTCCCAGAGACTCCATTCACTGACATTGCTTGGCCAAAGGGAGCACCCTTGCCTCAGAAAATGGAAGGAATGACTCAGGGTTTATTAAAAATCCAAGTAATAGCAATTTAGAGTCTTTACACTATGGGGAATGAACTGAGTTGACAGGTCAAGATAGAGGTTGGGTAAAATATCTTAGGTACAGGCCAGGTGCCTCATGGTCATGCTAAGAGGGGAGACCTGGGTTCCTGGATTGAAGATGACAGAAAGAAAGTGGCGCCTATGTTTATAAGATGACTGAGCTCCCAAGGGCCTCTCAGTCTCTTCAGGAAAGCAGAGTCTTTCCTCCTGTCTTTGGTCTATCATAAACCTCGCTAGGACACAGATCGATGCAGGAGAAGAGAAGTGGACAACAAGGGTGGCCAGAGGTCATAGTGTGGGGAAGTGAGAAAGCAAAAGTTATGGGGCAGGAAAGATGGAGATCATAATCCAGCACTCTGTTGGATGTTCAGAGTCTGGGGTAGAGTGAGGAGTCACTGGGGATTGGGGCATGAAGCCATTAGCCTTACTCCAAACTGCTTGCAGTTTCAATGACAGATTGATCTCCATGGAAAGGAAACTGAGATGGATCACTGAGAAATGGAGGAAGTGTAGTCTCTGGTGTTCCGGCTTCTGAGGGTCCAGTAGAAAGACCTCTGGGACAAACCGGGGTGTGGCCCTGGCCAGAATTTGTGCAGTATCTTAAAATCTTAAATCCCAATTCCTTGCTTTGGGCTGCTCTAAGCAAGAGAGGATTAGAAGGCCAGCGCTGCGGCTCACTAGGCTAATCCTCTGCCTTGTGGCACCGGCACACCAGGTTCTAGTCCCGGTCAGGGCGCCGGATTCTGTCCCGATTGCCCCTCTTCCAGGCCAGCTCCCTGCTGTGGCCAGGGAGTGCAGTGGAGGATGGCTCAAGTGCTTGGGCCCTGCACCCCATGGGAGACCAGGATAAGTACCTGGCTCCTGCCATCGGATCAGCGCGGTGCGCCGGCTGTAGCGCGCCGGCCGCGGCGGCCATTGGAGGGTGAACCAACGGCAAAAGGAAGACCTTTCTCTCTGTCTCTCTCTCTCACTGTCCACTCTGCCTGTCAAAAAAAAAAAAAAAAAAAGGGGGGGGGTTAGAACAGAATCTTAACTCTGGGGATTGATCCAGTCCTAGTCAGCAAGCCTTGCCCCTGAGTCTTAAGACCAACAGCCCTGTGGTTGCTTTTACACTTGATCTTAGCCAAAAGGCCAAGAAGCGATCTGTAATTGCTTTTAACTGGCTGTCAGAAACCTGGTGACTTTGAGAGAGATTGGCTATGGAGGAGAGTGAGGCAAAAGAAGTCTTCTTTGCTCACCCTTCTAATGAGAGGGTCCAATTCATGGTACCAAATGTTACAGCTGGAGTGTGGTATCCCACACTGAAAAATTCCTACGCGGATAATGCAGACATTTGATTGAAAGCACAGAGACTCCTGATGCAGCAGTCAGGAGGGGCCCTCGAAGGGAGCGTTTGCCTTATCAGATTTTTTTCTA